GATTGACTGTATTTGGTTCATATCGGAAAACGTTTAGGGTGAGGGAACCGAAAGTTCGGCCAAACTCGTTTGATTAAATCCTTTTGATCATTTTAGAGAACGTTTTAGTTGATAAGCCAATGATATTTAATATTTTAATATTCGGCGCGATGTACCATATATGCCGTAGGTAATCGGAGAATTTTTTTATGTTGAATATGTTGAACGTTTTTGAGTTCTGAATATGTGAACGATTTTTTTATGTTGAATTATGTTGAACGAAATCATTCGATTGACTGTATTTGGTTCATATCGGAAAACGTTTAGGGTGAGGGAACCGAAGGTTCGGCCAAACTCGTTTGATTAAATCCTTTTGATCATTTTAGAGAACTTTTTAGTTGATAAGCCAATGATATTTAATATTTTAATATTCGGCGCGATGTACCATATATGACGTAGTTAATCAGAGAATTTTTTTATGTTGAATAGATATTGGTTGGTTGGGGGATAGGCATATTCTGTGGGTAAATTAAGAAACATTGTATTGATTCGACCGAATATTTTTCTACGTGGGAAAATACTGTGGCACTTGATAGGAATCGGAAGAAGGTGGAAAGTTGATACCTAGTGGTACGTTGGGGATGGTTATTGTATGCTTAAGTTACGCCTATTTTGTAATCATTTTATGCGGATGTTTTGACTTCTTCTATTACACTTTCACGGACTCACAATCTGCACTGTTAACAACGGTCACAAAATTCATACACTTTTAATACCCAAGGTTGCAATAAAATAATAAATTTCACGTCTTGAAAGTGAATCATCAAACATCTGTTATAAATTTCTCAATAAATTTATCATTTTTTAACATCATGTTGCAATTTTGCGAAATCGCGTATCATAGATTTATACTATATATGTATAAATCATACGATCAAAATGTCTCGGAATTAGTGCACCATAACTAAATAAAACTTAAAAGAAAAGAATGTCATACAATTGCAATACGTTTTTCAACGATTTAGAGGATTATATCCCTCAGGGTATCGAGAATGCTGGAGTTTCAATTTTAAGGGCCAAGAAATTCAAGCAGCTTTGGGTCGCGCTAGGATCGCAATTTTCTAACTTGGAGAAAGTCCAAGGGTAGGGAGCTATGAAATCTAAGCCGATTATTTAAAGTGGGATAGGAAACAGCGGTATCAGTGGTTAGTTACTCGCTTTTAACGGCCTTAACGATGCCAAGTCGGGCCGAAGTCGGCGAGAAGAAGGTAATTGCGGGCCAATTAGGTGCCGAAGACGAGGGAAAGGGAGCGCGATTGGCCGATGGCTGGTCGCTCCCGACTATTTTCACTTGCATCGCGTTACTTCCGTGAAATCGGTCGCGTAACTTCCGCGGAATTTTTCTCGCGAACCCATTAAGGGAGGCCGCGCTTTCCTCGCGATCGGAAATTTCAGAACGGCTGCGATCGGCGAGAAGAAAAATCGTCCGACCGGCGTCGGCACTAAATCGCAGCCAGCGACCATCCCGAGCAAGAACCGCCTCGAATGAAAAAATATCGACGGCCATAACGTTCAAATAAATCGCCCATTCGCCTTAACTTAACATCCACTTTGCGCCGATCGTGGCCTATCACCGAAAGCCCTGCAACGCGAGGTGAACGTAAGAGTGCTTGCACGTAACTCCGCGAACCGGTACCGAGGAGAATTCCCTTATGCAATCGGCTCCGAAAATAAACATTCAATTAATCCCACGTACAGATTTTGTTACATTCCCGGTTACATAATCGAGCTAAAAGTGCCTCCTCGAACTCGTCCGACGACGATGATTACCGCCCGAGAGAAACCGGTCAACTTTTCCCTGCCTAAAGATTTTCTGGGCGTATCTTCTTTCCCGCGCAATTACGTGGATCGATCGGCGATTTGGGTGGGCCCCACAGGCCGAGGAAGGAAAAAGGCATCCCCGAACGCCAAGTTAATCGTCTCCTGGAAAAACGTAATGAAACGGCACTTCCTCGTCCGCTTTCGACGAGCCTCTCCGATCCGGTCTCGCGATCCGCGCATAATTCCGTCCACGCGAAATCCGGCGAAATCGACGAGAAACCCTTTCTAATGGGCTCAGGGATTAATCGGATCCGATACAAATTGTCCCGCTCACTTCGGCAATATCCTCGACTCGATTAGACCCGAGTAAGGTTTCCGGATTCCCCGGGGCAAAGTGCCGTTTCTTATCACGCGAGGTGAGTGCTCGGAGCCAAAGCAAATTCCACTCGTACCTCTTCTCGTTACATGTCGTACCAGAAATATCGATTTCATGGGCTTCACCAGCTTCTGTATCACGTTATATTAACAGATATCGGCATCGCTTCCACCCTTGGCCGACTTCCAAGTGGAAATGGGTTATTATTACAGTATTTTTCCGGACTGGAAACGTTTCTCTCCACGTAATGTCTGGATAGATGGAACGCGGGTTATTAAAGGTCTCTGGGTGATCCAGACTAATGAGTCACTTTGTCACTGAAACGTAATACAGCGATGCCGATTGCAATGTCCACTCCTGCATTTCGACCTCCCAGCTTCTATCTATCCTCCACGTGGCTACCGTATGAGAAAGCAGACCTTATCAAACTCGCATACGTACATATCACGGCGCACGTGATCGCACCCCGTAACTACGAGAAAATATTTACTCCATTGTATCTCGTACATCCATTCCTCTTTCTTTAAGGCACTCCCAAGTGTGTCTTGAATGCGCCGCTAATCGGGCCTCCTCACCTTCAACACATTACATATCTCAATAATTATTCATAACATTGATTCCACCCCCTTTGCAGTCCCAAATATAAAAAACAACGAGAATCCAAAATGGCACCCCCGAGTGTATCTTAAATACGCAGTCAATCGAGTGTCCTCACCTTTGACACATTTTCAATCTCAATAATTATCCATAACATTTATCCCAACCCCTGTACGGTCCCAAGCATCTAAATAACGAGAATCCAAGATGGCGGAAAACTTACACGGTAGAAATGTCACCTTCGGGGCCCGATTTCCACGTGTCCCCGTACGTGCACATGAGTGCACTTATCTCGTGCCAGTACACGAGAACACATATTTCGTGCACTCGCATGTGCAGGTATCGCACGTCGCACGTGGTCGGCTCTGGTAACTCCGTAAAAATGCTGACAAGTGTCCGTAAAAGGGCACGCGCGACGCCGGTAAGAGGCCGCGAAGGCCCGCCCGTTCGGCGTCGCTTCGCCGGCGTCGCGAGGTTGCATTTTCTGCTCTTCTTCCCCGGATCAAATCGGTCGCGAATCCCCGATCGGCACGCAGGTTCGATCCTCGATATCGAAGAAAACGATCGTCCCTCCCGCGCCCCGGGGTCGAGGAATTCCGAGCGCGTGCGTGTTACGCGTATAGGTACGCGCGTGTACGCCGACACAACTGACTTGTATGTACTTACGCACCGAGGCCTCCACGTACACCACCCAAGGATGTGCGTGCTCGCAGTTTTTCCCGGTTTCTCTCTTTTATTTTGCCAGCCGAGTCCGAGCTCTCCAGGCAGGGCTTCGGGCCTTCCAACGAGGTAGCCACTACTTGCGATGCCCCAGGTGTTCTGAATGAATAAGGATAACAAATCACACGTACAAATAAGCAAAAAAACTCGAAATACCTAATCTCATTAGCAGCTGAGTCAATCGTGATTCATACAAGGGAATGATTTGATTTGGGGAGATAAATAAAATCTTTAACAACCATGAGTGACTTGGATGACCAAGTCACTTTATTACGCCGTCGTTGCAAAAGATGATAGCACGGAGACTGTAGATATTCAACAATTACTGTACAAAAATTTACACTAACAAAATTTCCCTCTAAATCACCCGTGAACATATTTTCGGTGCATGTACACGCTGCACCTTCAGCGCGCCAGAAAGTGCAGATCCTACAGTCAACGTGCACTCCGTCAATAGTAGATGGAAATACGATCCACTCAGCGGCACGTGACATTCGCAAGACGTTCCTCCGTTATCCGTGAGTCACTGCTTTCGCGTGACAGCTTCTGAGAAAATTGCAACACGCAAAGCAGTCCACGGAATAGATAGTAAAAAAAAGAAAGAAAAGGCAATTCAAAGATCCTAGCGCGTCTTTGGGACGACTTAGCGCTCTCGACTCTTCGACATCGGGTTCCTTGATACGCGTCGTTAAAAGTCCGTCTCATTACCGCGGATAAGAATGAAAAAAAAAAAAAAGGAAACCAATCTAAGGAGCCGCTCTCGGATTCCTTGGCAACTTTGAAATCTCACGGGGGACCATTTCAACGGGTTCTCCCGAGTGGCGCGTTTTCTGCGTCGCCGAGGTAAGGAGGGCGTCCCGACGGCTCGTTGCTCTTAAAAGCGTGCCTCAAAGGCGCGTCGATTCGCCGAGCGAGCGGCCACGTCATCGGGTTTTTATCCGCTGCTGATTTCTGTGTCAGGAGTCACGTTTATCCTTAACGTGCCGCCGTTCCGAGGAGTGCTTCTCTCTCTCGCCCGCGCGGGTACGCATGACTCCCTCTCGCTCCCTCTCACGCTACCGAGAGTGGCCGCGGCTTCTCGAGGCGCAGCTCGCATCTCGCGGTGATAAGCGGCCGATCGCATTGCAGAAACGTGAGTTTTTGATAGGCCGCCGATCACGTTTGTAACGGATCCGCCACCTTGCCACGTCGGTGGGGACCTTGAATTCTAGATAGGCCGCCGTCGCGTTTTACGGAACGCACACGTACCTATCGTCTACGCGTAAGTACGTGCGTGAGCCGAGGCATTCCGAGCCGGCAAACGTCACGGGGACGTCCCGTGCCAACGACTCCGCTCATCCGTAGATCCACTGCCAATAAATCCGTATTTTTCCACCGGTCTTCTCCAGAAATAGACGCCGGGTCTGAAGGCGATCTAGGAAAGAAGATTTCCCTCCACGTCCGCGCCTTCCAGCCTCGTTCGGACACGCACATATAACACACAGGGAGTAATTTCTCTAATGAATTCTTAAACGATTAAAATTCCTACTTCGTGTACCTTCTATAACATAGAGGGATTAATTCATGTAATTAGTTGTTAGATGGTTCAAATTTCTATTTCATGTCCTATACCTTTGATAGATGTAAATGCAAAGAGGCGCCGACGGAAAAAACCATGGAGTTGCATGTCGGATGAAAAGCATGGAGATGGATATGTCGAAGACGTCGCTCGTCATGGAACACCTGAAAAATTAGATTTCGTGTTACTTAACTGGGTATTTCGATTAAAAATGATTTATTAAAGCAGACACGCACCTGTATCACTTAGAGAATAATTCGGATAATCGGTTCTTAGATAGTTAAAAACTCCTACTCCGTCTTCTGTATCTTTGGTAGGCGCAGATACGGGATTTGGACCAAAAAATCATGGAGATGACAACGTCGAGGATGCCCATCCTGGAGCATCTGAAACATGAGATTTTCTATCACTTAAATGGGTACCTCCAAATTGGCTTAAACATGGATCCATACAAAATAACTTAAGATAAACGCTGATATTGGTTACGCCCGATCCAGAGAGTCCACGAGAAATGATCGAAAAGATTTTTTTCTATTCGCCAGAAGAGTTTTCGAATCAACGGCTGTTTCGCCTCGAGATTTCCCAGGGAATCATAATAAGACTCCTCGCGTTCATTCTTCGGCATTATTTTTAGCATCGGCAAAAATCGGCGCACTCCGGTCCCTACCCTCCCTAATTTAGAGTGAGGCGATGAAACGCGACCGTGAGGCATGTATATCTTGACGAAAGAAACGGAAAGGTAATCGAGAAGTCCGTTCTCCATCTTGGCTTGACCTCGCGTGATCTCTTCGACAAGTGGAGACCCCAGGTGGGGTCAAGATGGCCGTCGCGTGACTGAAAAATCAAGCGGCTCTAATGCCCGCCTGGTCGGCCGATAATGCTTCGTACATCGCCTGGCTCTGTTTACGAGCTCGGGGTAGAGAAAAAGAGAGCGAATGGCTCCGCGTCTTATCGGTGAAACCGGTTCGCCGTCGGATTAATTCGGTTCGTCTATCAATTCTCACTGGGGGGGTTCAATAGGGCAGCCAAGATTAAAGTTCCTCCTCTCCCAAGAGCCGTAGACTCCTTCGCGGCTCTGGTCACCGAGCGCAACGCGTCGTTTTCTGTTTTTTCTTCTCCTTTTTTCCTCTCTTTTATTTCCAACGCCGCAACCTCGCGGGCACGTGACAAGCGATAACGCCGCAATGTGAGAAGAGGCCATAGCCAAAGTCAAGAAACTGAAGAAACTCGCCTTCAGCCTCGACGACAGCTTTTCCGTTCCCGCAAGCTCGTGGAAAAAGTTGCCACGAAGGCTAAGATAGAGAATGCGAAATGGCGAGCTTGGGTGTAAAGCATTGGAAAGAAAATCCAGACGATTGCGTTCGAAGTTAGAGAACGAATTTTCCCGATTTAGGGAACTTGGAGGAACCGAAGTGTCCAGGAAACGAGTTCACTTGGTTCTCAAAATGGAGAACCCAAGGAAACAGGACCTAAAAACTAGAATTCACGAACACGCTAGTGGATGCGAACGTTATCAAGGATGTTGTCACGTGCCATCGTTAAACCTGTTTCCAAAATTCAGGCCGAGGATATTGGTTTTGGTTATTGCGTCGAACTTTAACTATTTACGAAAAAGATCCATTATTGGTTCGTTGACCTATGGAGGTGGTTCAAAGATGACGCTAGACCAGGCGAAGACTTCATCCGCGCTATCACTCGATAAACGTATCACGACCTAAGAATCGAGAGATAACCGACTTGAAACATGGTACCAGAGAGGGAGTCCCTCGACTTCAATACTAAATATACAGTGGATTTATTCGTGAGACTGTGTTATCGCGTATCGAATATAATAATTCGTCAATTATATATAAATACAAGTATTTAAGTTTCATGATTCGCGGTCGACGTCGCGACGCTTTGTCACAACGGGCGCGAACGATATCTTATAACGACAGCTACTCGAATAAACGAATCTCCACTTTTCTTTTCTTTTTTTTTTTTCCCCGAAATTCGCGGCTATGCCTAAAGGTCGCAGGAAATGAAAGCGACAAGAGCGGAACACGTTGATAGTAAATATTATAATTAATCAGACGTCATATGCTATCTCTCTCACCGCTTCTGTCTTTCCCTGATTTCTTACAGTGAGCGAGAAGTACATGCAAATCGTATCCCGTATCGCGGTCGAATCGGATTGAAAATATTTAATGAATCGCGCGAAAGTTTCAACAATTAAAGAATTAAGTCACGGGAGCTTGCATGCCGTCGATGAAACATGATGCCCCCTCGCAACATAAATTAGGGAAGACGGTGCGACTACGGTGTCGACTTCAAACTGAAAATTGTCTGCAACGCTCATACGTAACCAGAGTACCGTGGCTTTCGATTTATTATAAATTGACAATTAACACCGAAAACAACACTCCCGTTTCCATGAGTTCCACCTAATTTTCTTTTCGAAGGAGGGATGTACATACATCCGAATGATTGGCTCGTCATGACGATGTCCGCAAGTGCATATTAGGTACACTTCTCGTCACATTTTATTACAACAATGTAAAGTACACTCTGTTGTACTTTTGGCGCTGAAATCGGAACTACGTACGGAATAAACAGCGGCGCCACGACCAAGCTCGCCGGCTTGATTTCGTGAAAACCGGTCGTTTCACCCCGGAATACAAAACGAAGTCGGTGCAAATCCGACTGCCAAGGAGCAATCGACTTGACGTACGTTCTCGATTGATAAAGTCCACGTGGAATATTCGCAAAATTTCACTCAGGAGCACGCTCAATCGCGATCACCCCTCTCCTCGGCGCGCTCTTCCGCTCGCGCCTTCATTCTCGTGATAAACGCCTGGCCCTTGCTTTTTCGGAAGTTCTCGTAAGGATCGTTTAAGTTGATCCCCACTCCTTTATACTGATCGTTTTTGTCCCTGATTTCACCGCCGGAGATGGGAGCTTCTATTCCTTGCTCATTCGCCCCCAAACCGGCGCCACTCCAACCCATCTTCTTTAACAGCTGATGACCTTTGTTGCTCTCGTCCAAGCTTAATTCTTGTGGAGGTTTACTGTATGTCGACCCCCTGAAGAGAAAAAAACGTGTCGTCGATTAAACCTACTTTTAAATTTGCTACTTTGCTTGCTTATACAATGCGCGATAAGTTTCTGCATTTATTAATGAGACTTCGTGATCTCTAATCATCTAACAAGAGATTTAGTAATCTGAATCTACTAACAAGAAACTAGGTGGAGTTGGACTGCGGTCTTGCCGGTCGATCCTTCGCTCAGGACTCCTTTCTTTGTTACTATTCCTTCTTCTCCGACTTCTGCTAGTGTGGTTACTGTTACGACTATTTCGCCTGTGGTTAGCGGCAGGTGACCTCGATCTGCTTCTCCCTCGTGATCGTGAACGCGATCTACTACGAGACTTACTCCTATACCGTTTTTTTGGTGGACTTGGGCTTTTGGAACGAGGCCTTAGGATCGGCGAAGGTGATTTAGATTTCGGCCTCAGGCCAGACATTATATCCTCCTCTTTACGTTTCCTCGCTGCATTCTTTGCTTTGTAATACTCATATAGTCCCAATTTCTCCCAACCATCACTGTAATTAAATAAAAGTTAGAGACGTTTTAAGGCTATATCTACTGTTCTTTAAATGGAATCCAGTTACCTATCCCTAGGAGAATCATGATTTGGTGGCGAATAAAAGGCTTCCACTGCGGCTACCAAACGTTCACTCGGTGGCGCTGGTGGAGGTAATCTGATTGCATCTGGATCTAATGGCTTATACTCTGCGTCTTCTAACTTAATTAATGGAACCATTAAACCAGCCGGTAGCTCGAAATAAGGCATACTGGGCATCAGGTCCTCGACCGAAGGTTCATGGATGACCGGAGGTGGACCAAACCCAGGTGGAGGTTTCGAAAAATCCGGCAGAGGAACGTTCGTAAACGGTGGTGGATCCGGACCAGGTGGTCCCCAGCCTGGTGGTGGTTGTGTGAAATTGATGTCAGCTCCCATTGGAGGTGGTCCAGTGTGGGCGGGAGCTATAGACATATTTGGTTGGTTCTGAAAGCAAAGAAACTCGATGGTAAACGGATATAACGCTACAAAAATGTACCAATAAGGAACAAAAGTTAATCCGATAAAAGACATACAATCTGGGGAGGTGGTGGTGGAGCTTTCAACTGTTGATCGATCGCTATTTTTTGTTGCTCAATAGTTTGAATTTGCCTCATAGCATGATTAACAAAAGCTTGATGCTGTGCCTGATAATTATCAAAGGTCTGTTTGGTGGAAGTTGTAATTGGTGTAATGGCAGCAGCATGTTGCGCAACCAAATTAGCTTGGTATTCTGACCAAGAGGTATTCGGCTGCTTCAGTTTATCTACAATCCCTTCGTCAAAGTAATTGTTTTTTGATTCCCAAAGACTGAGTAATTTATTCAGCTTATTTAATTGTTCCTCAGAGGCAGCTAATGAAGTGTTACAGAACATCGGAACGACTACGCTCTCCATTGCTTTCCGAAGATCCACAGATTTCTTTCGGGCGCTAAAAAGTTTAAAACCGAGTAGAGCACTCTTATTTCACTGAAATATTTTGTACACTAACCCTAGCTTCCTCGAATCGGCAATCCCAACGATTGCAAACACTTAACTTACCGAAAGTGAGTATACTATTCATTCCGACTTACCAATGGTGCAAGACATCGTTTACCAAGTAGATGATATGAAGTTTATGATTAAAGCTTGTCCCTTGTATCACTCTAAAACAAAATTAATGTAGGATTATGGACATCCGTATTTTTATAATATATCTAATATTACACAAGGGCATACATACTTCTTCAATAAATGTTCAGCAACGACTTGATTGCTCTGTGCTGTTAAAGAATTTTGAAGTATCCAAGCTTTCCCAGCACTGATGCTATCCTTTGTGCAGCTATCGATAATAGGTTGCAATACCGAGTCGAACGCAATTAAATCGGTATTCGTGTTTTGAGCACTATTCTGCAGAGAAGTCTCTTGTGCTTGCCTCACGGCATCTTCGACCCGTCCTTGCTGTTGTGCCATCAGCGCTGCATGCTGGGCTGCCAAGTTCTGTTCGGATTGCCTGACTTGTTCCTGGAGCGAGGTCTGCTGCGACTGAAGATTCGCCAATTCGTTCTGCAGCCATGCTGGTGGCCCGGCGATGTTAACTCCCGGCGCAACCCCGCCAATAGGCGCATTCACCCCGCCAATTCCACCGGGAACTGCTCCGATAGGTGGGACTGCATTTCCAGGCCCTCTGATCGGTCCAGAAACTCCAGGTATTACGGGCCCTGGATTTCCAGTCGGGCCAATTCCTACCACTTGGTTTATACCGTTGTTCTGAGTACTTAGGCCGGGCGCAAGACTGACGTTATTCAATGGCTGTGCGACGGACGCGGCTGCTTGCTGCTGCTGCGAAACGTTTAAACGTGGGTCTGCATTTTGCATTGGATTTATTCCTTTTTGCTTTAAAACTGTAAACGAATGACGGTGGATTATTGTAAGTTGTGTAACTCATGTCGGTATTATTTGAAAAAAAGTATGCTAATAGTCAGACTTTCTGTCTCTTATCTTCTACAGGGGGCGCGAATAGCGTCTTTGGTACAGTATTTATGCGCAAAGTCTATCGGGAAGTACGACAAGTGCTTTCAAAACACTATTCATTTCCCTTCTTTATACTTGGATATCTAGCAATACCATGCATAGTATATTTTATATCGCAATCTCTGGTTAGAAGAACGTTAAAAGACTATGCCTCCTCGATATCGTCGTGTCCAAGGAAGACAAGGTGCCTTTATCTAGTTTGCATTTTCTGCTTAATTGAATAGGGATCCCAAAATCTTGAAACGAAGTCCTGATATTCCATGAACGATATTTTCTTAGTGGCATTCTGACGAATTCAGAGACTCTTTTGCCCGGATCTCCCTCGAGTACGTTCCTCGTTCGACGATTAAAGTTTGGCCATTTATGCTTCTCAACGGTTGTAGCTGTTTAGGGGTTTTGTCCCACTTACTGGCTTGTTCCGTAGTCACTTTGTACTGATAATAATTGAAGTGTTCTCCGCCGAACAGGAAGCCAAACTTCGGGTTGTCCTTCTGCTTGTTTTTTGTCATCTGCTCGAACTCAGGCCCGTTGCGTGCCACAAACTGTGCCAATTTATCAATGATGTTCCGCAGTTCTGTATCTATATCATTCAAAAGAATAATATCAGAAAATATTGCTTATACCGAGTCATATAAACGAGTATAATAACAAACCAATATTTATTATACTAAAAATAAAAGAAATAAAGAACAGTACACAAGTGCTTTTTTCTATTCCTAACTCAATTATGACATACAGTATTACAAATCCTTATATTGTAGTCACTATCTCATGAGTCATAAATATTGACAAAAGATTGACATTCACGAACGGTAATAGAGTACGTCCGTTTGATAATTTAAAATTAAATAAAATAACCCGGCAGCAATGCCAGTTAGCACGCCTCAAAATTAACGCCTTCAGTTCATGTCTCCACCGCTCAGGACACACATAACCTAAAAGGTACACATCGCGCTCGCGCGCGCGGGTGCAGAATTTATTCCAATCTTCCAAATAATTTTGCTAGCTCGACCGCTAAGATAATGAATCACGATACAACTGGCTTCCGATCGATCTATTAATGCTAATTAGACGATTAATCAAGACATTCTGAAAAGAAACGTGTAGAGTAACCGCGCTCGGCCGGACATTGCCACTTGGAAGGTTCTCGGTTTACCTGCTGGAGCTTGATCCATTTTCACCGTCGTGAACAAGTTGCACCTCCCCCCGTAATACTTGTACACTAAATAATCCTTGAATGATTTATTTTCAAAAGAAATCCGACGCCGAGATTCATCGTTTCTCACTGTTTCTCACGGTGGAACGACAACGCTAGACGTCGCCATTCTGCTCCCTAGTTCGAGCGGTTCCCGCCGGAAGCGCTGTGACTGCCGCGAGTGTTCACCTGCGAAACTAACAGTGACAATGCCGCGCTGCCGATAACTGCGTGTATCAGAGATGAGTTGGGAGATTACTTACGGGCAGGTCGCGCGATCGCATCCTGTGCTGTCCTCTGGTTTCGTACGTTAGCTTTCACCGTTTTTTTGAGTTTGGAGATTGCTCACGGGCAGCAGAGATGAGCCATGAACTTCGTCACGACCTGTGCTGTCCCCCGGTGGAGAATGTGGACGGCTAATGCACTTGCCACCTGATCTCCCCCCCAATGGCGGCCCAATTCAGGGATCCTCTTCATCTCTGCTCCCAATCCATCTCTGTGATAACAAACACTATTTTCGTCTAATAAGTACCTTGACTTTATGAATATTATGTATTAAAAGAAATTAATTAATTTAAATCCAAATTCTCAGAATTCTCTTAAATTCTCTAGAGATCTAAAATCTTAAGAAACACAATTAAAATTGTCATGCGGCATAATAATCGCTCATAGTTTGTTAAAATTATTGAAAATTACTTGAATGTCATTAAAAAATTCAATTCCCATAAATTCTCATTCATTCACAGAGAAATTAATCACTGATTATATTCCCGGTTATATTCCCGTTCTCGATTATGTTACCCGGGTAATATAACGCATTAAAAACTCTAGATATTTTGCATTCCTAGATTACAGCAACAAGTTGTCAACCATGAAACTTACTAAAATGTTACGTTAATATATTCAAAGAACCAATGAAAGAGTCCAAACGTAAAACAATGATCTCGTTGGCTTTCAGTAAGTTACTAGCCCGAGCAGTTCGCTGTATACGGTATGCAACGTTGTATGAAGTGCGTTTATATCGTAACGAAATCACTCTACCAATGAAAGAATCATCTCTATTTTTGCAAATATTTTTGGCTTTTCCAAAACAGCATCAGTCGTCATGGATGTAGATACGGCAAGTGACAATACATCTGTAGACGATAAAACTGAAGACTTTTGCGAAAATCCAACAAGGGATGCTTTAACCGAAGGGCTTATGGGTCTATTGAAACCAACAATTGATCAACTTGATGAAAGGATCCGTGCTACCAGGTGATAACCTTAAAATTGAGCTTACCAATATAGTAATGTTCTGAACTTACTAATAAGTTATCTGATTTTGTCAGCTGTTCGTACTTACATATTTCTATCGCTGTTTCAAATACATTTACTAAAATATCATCAACAGTATTGTGTACTCATAGTATTTGAAAACAAGTTATATATAATTATATTGCTTCATTTTTTGCAGAATAAGTCAAATTGAACTTAAACAACAAATTGAATCTTTAACCGATGAGCTGATTAAAATATCAGATGCACTGCAGTCGCCGTTAGAATTAGATTCGTACGTGAAGAAGTTAGTAAATGCTAAGCAAAAGGTAACAATAGTCAGTAACGTATTGCAAACAACACAAGATCGTCTTAATAAAATTCATCAAGCAGTTGAGAGAGACACAGCTAAAAGGAAAGCATTACTAGATCATAGTTCAACCTATGCCCAGAGCAAGGTACAAGAATCTGAAACTGAAGGTATTGCTGTTACAGAACAGCAATAAAAATGGAAAAATTGTAAAGTTACATTCGAAATGGAAATATTTTATTATTAAGATATAATTTACCATAATATATATATTGATGTAAGTGTTCGATAAATTAGTCATTAAAGTTATGGATACTCCTGTGATTAAGCTTTCTCTTTCGGAAGAAGAGACTGTATATGTACCTTCTGAAGATTCATTCCTTTTAATAGATGCTTTAGAAGCCGATTTAGAATTGTTCAGAACTGTAAAGTCGCGATTATGCTTAGAAATAGGTAGTGGATCTGGCGTAGTTATAACTGCATTAGCAGCTGCATTAAAAAAATACTGTTCGTCATATTTTCTTGCAACTGATATTAATCCACATGCTTGTATGGTAACGAAGAAAACAAGCATTAATAATGCAGTTGATATCGATGTGATCCAAATGGATTTGGTTTTTAGCATTCGTAACAAAGGAGTGTTCGATATAATTGTATTTAATCCACCTTACGTTGTTACAGAATCTGTAGAAGTGTATGACAAAAGATTAATTTCAAAAACATGGGCAGGTGGAATAAAAGGGCGAGAAGTTATGGAAAAAATATTTGCCCATATTCCTATTTTATTGTCTGATGTAGGGATTTTTTATTTAGTTGTTATAGAGGAAAACGAACCAGATTATATTATGCGTATTTTTAGAAATTTTGGCATGAAAGGAGAAATTGTAGCAGATCGAAAGATACGCGGAGAGCATTTAAAAGTTTTAAGATTTGTAAAGTTAAAGCAAAGAGAACCTAAAAATTGTGAGGAAACTATTGTAAAAAATGGATGATAACTTGAATTAATGTTTTATACTAATTATTTTGTAACCTAGTAGTATAGTTTTTATGAGTACCCTGAATATGTTGTAATTGCTCTTAAATTATTATGGAATAATAATTTTGATTTAAAGTTGCTTAACACAGCTAAGGTACATCCATAATAAATTTGAATTCATTAAATATTATATGTACCTATTGAAACTACTTTATTTGACATGCTCATTTTTTTAATTATATGTTTCAAAAAGTGCACTTTTTGTTAATATTCTTACATTTGTTGTATACTTGTGTAATAGTAATGTCTCGACTGTTTTTAAATTTTATTTCCAAAGGACAGTTATGCTGTCAACATTACAAAGCATTATATATTATCAGATAATAAATTTTGTATTAAATAAAGAAGTTAGCATGTGTATAAAGTACAGGGTGTTAGAAAAGTCTGGAAAAGATGTATATATTTATATCGATGTACCACAAACAAACCTAATATACAGAAAAATTGCAACATAAAAATCAAGTGATGGATAATATTTATAATAAAGCTGTTTAAGTTAGTAAGTTGTAATTTTATGGTTTTTGTGAAGTTATGATAAATTCCCCATATCAATTAATGTTCCTTTATTTGAATGAATTTTGTAATTACATCGAGGAGAATATGACAAATTAATATTAGATCACAATTAATTATATTTACATTCCTCATATATTTTCTAACATTTGCTCTTATAGAACAATTCAGTATTCGATACGTACAGGATTTCAAAAATTATTGTTCAAACATAACGCGTCACTGGTATTACATTACAAGAAATTGCATAGTTAATATTACAGCATTAGACAAATGATTTGCTTTTTAAGCAGTGGTACCAGAAACGCGTTAAACTCTGCTTAGTTATCTACGCGTTATGTTCAACAAGCATATTTTAACGTAATCGTAATCATACTGGCATAAGTCTCCGTAAGTACAAGTCAGTTGGCATATGGCTATCGTTCTGATGCGTCTATAAATAATACTTCTCCAAAAGTACGATTGTGTAAAGCCATTTTTACAATAGAATTCATATTCTGACAATTTGAAGCCGTTCCCGATTATTTCTTATTTGTACCACTTAAAACATGTACAAAATTATCGTTATACCGATTCTTGGCTGAATATGAATTTTATTGCAAGTTAAGCTACATTATTCAATTCACTAATACACAAAATCTACTTCGGTTGCAAGTGTTCTCAGGCAATTACGCAGTAGCGATTATTATACCGTAATCACCTATTACTTTTTGTAACGAACGCCGCTTATTGCCATTGAAGTTTCTTCGTCGAATGTGGAATGCGCGTGCGTTAAATCTAATTACAGAAATATTTAATAGAATTGAAATTTCAGTCTAATTACACCCGATTAGACCTGTTATTAAATTAAGTTCGCCCTTCTTCGACGTTATGTTTTGTTTCGCAAATACTTAAAATAGCTTCAAATGATCGTTTAACTTCATAAACCTGATAATTACGCGTTGTTTTCTCAGCTAGGGCGATTGGATGTTGCCGAACGGCTCGTCCCAGTGAAATCGTTTAATGACTCTTCGGCAAATGCTCAACTTTCGAGGCGTAAATTCTTTGGAGTTTTAAATACAGTATAGCCGCACAAATGGTCGTTGCGGAGAGCATGCTCGCCATTAAAGAAAACGCAGCGTAAAAGCTCCCATGACTCATGCAAACGCTGCTGCTTAACACGATTTCGTTTGCACTGGGCAACCCGATCATTTCCATGGTTGCATTGCTCGTCAAGCTTAAATCCTCAGGCATTATGACTTTGAATCCTCGCCTAACTCGTACTGGATCCGACAATGCTCCTGTCATATTAAATGGGAGATACGTCACGTCACGACGTCGACGACCGGGCTCGATTTGCTGAAAAATAATATTTAATGTTTAATGTATAAACAAACTTGCCCATGAAAAGGCCCGTTTAAATAATTTGCAATGATCTTTGCTCAGAGTTAGAGAATAATATATGTTGGATGATAAGTGTATAATATGTACAATTGTACTGATTGTAATAAATGCATTGTGTAATCTATTGGCTTGATTCTTCTTGTTCTCCTTTATCAAAAAGGGCATGCATTAGTGTTAACTTCATGCGTAACACGTTTTTCGCACGAAAGTTCCAACTTCGTGTATATCAACTATTCCAAGTGTTAATTTGATATCTCCTAATTTAACGGCAAGGGAAATTTATTTTTAAATAACTAATATACAAGGATGTAATTAGTGTTAACCATTTTCATACTTGTGTAACGTTTAAATAATAATTTCTTTGTGGTATCTGTTAAAAAAAAGGTGAAAGAAATCTTCAAAAATAAATATTAAATTAAAAACATGTATATGACTTTTAATAACAAAAATTGTGCGATCGGTCTCGTATTTAATAAATGACTCAATCAACCGTATATGAATTATGAAAGATTAATTCAATAAGTATTGAGAGTTTATGACACAGCCTTTATCTCGTCATTCAAATCCTTTCTTTTTCACACGAACCCGAGTAAAAATGTCGTTACCTAACCTTGCATTTTACAAGTTTATTGACGATCACTCATCTTGAGTGTAGCTACGATGTGATATGCTTCTCATAAAATCGCTATAGGCATCATTTCCAATACGACCGGTAAGGGAAATGACGTGACTTTCTCCGCTAGGAGATGTCGTGACCCCAGAACGAAAGTGTTAGTATTGTCTCCTGTATTTATATGCTGATTATTCGATACGCAATTGACTGTCGGAGATTTCTAAACGGCATTTTTCAACTCGCGGTTTGTGAGTCTGTCACTTCTACGTTCGAGGATAAACTGTTTGTTATGAATTATTCAACTGTTCGCACAATATCGTTGCATAATTTCAACCTTGGAGCGTCGATTGAGACGCTACTTTTGAAAGCTGTGACTGACCTATGATTTTTTACCATTCTTTGAATCCTCGAATACGGGACGCTTGTCGGTAGCAATAAGTATCGTTAAATATTCCTTTTTTAATTATTTGAAAATTAATAATACTTTACCTGATTTCCCTCGGGACAAGGTTCACAGTCCGTCTTGCAGAGCTCAACGTTGCACTCTATGAAGAGATCCATGACATCGGGGAATTTGAATGCCTGGAAGAACGAATAGGCGATGATCGACGCTCCCGTGTTTCCGGTATCTCTGGTCTTTTGGAAAGCGCCAAACAATTTTGGTTTCAATATGCAGCCTCTTTCGTCGGTCAGCTGAACGACATTCGCCGATGTCTCGTCCCGAGCTACGCAATCTCGTACCTGAAAAATAGATTTATTCGCGAATACTTAAAAAATACTGTAATAATATGCACACCTTGTACATGCTTCTCCTCAGAATGTCTTGTGTCTTGGCAACGGCCAGGAAATTGACAAAAACAGGCACTCTATTGATAGCCATCTGTTAGAGTTTATTCTTTTAATCATTTTGTTAGAAATACTCGACCATTCCTTACAATACCACGGTTCGAGGATTTCAAGAAGTTCCGACAAAATCTAATTTTTGTAGTAAAAATTAAATGGGACTATATGAGTAAGACGTAGAATGATATAAAATATATGAAAATTATGCTTGTAATTGTTACATCCTTGAAATTGATATATCCTTTATTAAAAAGGACTTGCACTAACGTTAATTTCAAGCGTCCTTTGCTAAAAAGGACATACATTAGCGTAACTTTTTTTCTTAACAGCTTTGAGCGCAACGCCTACTCTCTATTGATTATCGAATCCTTTCTTTTAAGAGAGTGAAAAATGCGTGGTTTTAATTGTTTTCGTTTAGTTTGAGTTTCTCAATGTCTCAATCTAATACCAAGTAAAATTCAATTCTACATAGAAAAAGAATACAAGGATAATAATTGGTATTAATCACTTTAATACTTGCGTAATGTTTTAATAATATTTTGGTGATAGAAGTAAAAACCGGAAAAAAGTGCACCAGAGACATTTAACACAGGGGAAAACGTTATCAGTAATTATTATTGATTCCCCACGGCGTTTATCAAAAAAAGGTTAAAGAAATCTTAAAAAATATATATTAAATTAAATTGGACATAAATAATTTCTGGGATTACAATACGCGATCGGGCAAGTATTAAAGTGTGAAAATGACAGAAAAATATGTACCTGAAGATCGAAGCCAGGATCACCCTCCACTGATACAACCAAGGTCATGGTCTCTCCTATTTTCACGAGACCATCTGCCGCAGGTGCAAACGGACCCTTTCCGACTTGGATGTCCAATTTAGCCGTGGCTGTGTCTCCACTAAACGTTACAATTTCCTGGTTCAACATGTCCACCGACAAACTGACAGAAAGAGCCTTGTTGATGTTCCCTTCCCAAAGACAACGAACTCGGCGCACGGTATCCCAAACCTCCTGGATTCCCGGTTCGTTCTTAAAATATTGAGTTCAAATGATCAGAAAATGATACGGATGGCATGCAATTGTATTAATAAAACGACTATCACCGTGTTAATTAATATTATATATATATTAATATTATATAACGTTCCTATTTTTTAACATACTTGTAAGACTAGAACGTTTTCTAGGTAAGCCTGGCCAGCATCTCCTTCGAAGTCGTTAATAAATTGAGTGCCGCAAGAATCCAAACTCACAGTGAACGAGAATTTAGTCTGTCCTGAGTTTGCCTCAACATATCGGCACTCGGGGTTCATGTAAAAGCCCTAAAAATTCAATTTTAATGTTTGAGTTCAACCTCCACGTCCTATAAAGTGCCGTTAAATTGTAAGTGAATTTACCTTCGAGTAGATCAAGCCATCGAACGCTCGATTAAATTCTATATTAATAGTCATCATCTCCTTGCCACATTGAACGTCGATGTTATGGATATGCGGAGGATGTTTCAGGTCATCGTCATCAGGTTGCTGCGACGTGCCGTCACCGTTCTGAGAGTTGGTTCCTGCAAAAACGAAAACACGTAATAATTGACTAAGTTAACTTTCACAAAATGTCCAAGTTTACTGCTGCAGAACTTTAGGAATTCTGGATTTACCGTAACGGTTGCGAGGAATTGGTTAATTCGCAATGGCGGAAACTACCTTTAATTAATTACGCAAACAGTAAAAAGCATTTCTATAAAAAAAACGGGGTTCAATTAACTGGCAGTAGACCAGATCGTATTACCTTCTCCAAGTCCGCCAGGGAACGAAGGCGTAGGTGCTGGGGTTGAAGAAGGATACCCACCGCCAACAGTGCCAGGACCAGAAGGACCAGAAGGACCGGAAGGACCAGAAGGACCGGATGGACCAGATGGACCAGATGGACCAGAAGACGAGAGGCTGGGAGACGGGCTGGGAGCGGGATAATTGTACGGCGGGGTATAACCAGGAGACGAGAACGAATTAGTCGGGGTGGGTCCTGGCTGTCCTGCAGGACTGCTTGGTCGGTAATTGTTCTGTCCATTTCCTCTGGGCGGGACATATGTGGTTCCAGGAGATGGGTATCCAGAGGGTGGCCCTGAGACTCCCGGGGTAGGCGACCCAGGAAACTGCTGAGACGGGAACGGGGAGCTCCCTTGGGGTCTGTATCCCGGAGATGATCCATAATTCGGAGACGAAGGTTGGCTGCTGGGACTTATGTAGCTCGGCCTGGGAGTGGACGAAGGTTGGCTACTGGGACTGATGAATGTTGGCCTGGGAGTGGAGGACTGACTCGGAGGGATGTACTGAGACGACGGTTGCTGGTATCCTGGATAATTTCCACCCCCGCTGGCACTAGGGGTCGAGTACGATGGCTGAGGAGTAGACGCTGGCCGAAATGGTCTCGGCTTCTCCGGAGGTCTTTGAGTACTGAACGGCGGTAAGTACGCATTGTCCGATTCTTGGCGAGCTGTAAATATAATTAGGAAATTTACAGGAACCAATTGTCAACGTAGAAGAGAGTCACCCTATGTAGCAATATTAATTGGCATAATATTGGTAAACTGTAGTTATAGACTGTGTATATAACTGTACATGTAGCGGCAAAATATTGTAAATAATGCTCCACTATTGAAATATGAACATTTGGATTTATTGATAGAATATTCCATCGTAATATACAAAAGCAACATATATATCCAATACTGCAGACGTATCATAACACAATACCTCGTGCCAAACGACAATTACCCTATATCGGACCAATATATTGAGCGTCATATTTACTGGGACACAAAATATTATATTGGTTGAATATTGGCTAGTAATTAATAATATTGTACCAGTAGATTATATTCGACCAATATTACGCCAATTTATTACCAATATTCGTTGCTACAGGGGACGAGTCAGGTGTCGATAAAGTGGCTACACACGTTACGATGAATTATACCGATTTGTAATCCGGGCAGTTACATCAAGTTCTTCTGTAGCGTCCACGCGTCAATTAAATCCTTACAGTTTGGACAGATTTATCTCAACAATTAATCGTTACAAGTATAGCCACCTTTAATCGACAACAAAAGTGCATCGGTGAAATTTTGCTCCGAATTTTGCACCTGTTCGTAAGAATTTGCAATTTTAATGTGCGCCTTTGAAGTTTACATTTTTCCAGATGACCATTGTAGCCAATTGTGAAACCACGTTTCAGATGTAAGAAGCGATTGATTTGCAAATCGGTAACTGTACTGTCATCATGCGACCTAGTGTCTACATTACAGACAAGTTGCGTAAGTAAGGTCACTAACGTTTTCTCCCGTTGAAATGATTTGCTTAATTTGTCTTATGTCTGCCTCACGTGTCACTGGTGACATTAGTTAACCCTTTGAACAGTGTGGACGTGTATTTACGTCTTACGAAAACTCACTGCTCAAAGGGTTAAGAAAGTTTCAGCGTTCTAACGTCAAAATCGAGGTGCAAACATTGTCGTTCGTTGCGCAAAACGTACGTGTACGAACGACAGGTCGTAGTGTTTGTTCTACCAGGGTAAACTGCTGTTAATAATAAATTCATAAACGTGAGGGCGGTTCTTCTTCTCCTTCTCACAGCTGTAAACGTACTTTTTCGTGTACCCTGATTGTAGATGCCTTGAATCCATTCTAGAATATTTCTCGCCATCACGTCGGTTGGCGAATCTGCAGTAGCTCGCTCAGCTCTGGCGTGTGCTAAATTGCAAAGATTTCGTGAAAGAAAACTTTTCTCTGAAAAAACAGCAATATCGATGTTCCCGAATTAATTCATCTTACCGATCGACGTCTTAACGAAGAGGGCATGCCCGGGATCCTGGCCAAAGACTGCACCGAACAAAGCGGTGACAAACGCCACCAAGTATAGCCTCATTGTGCACCTAGAAGTAAAAATTAAAGATCCTTAAAAGGGAATGAAACCCACGGAGAAAGTGAAACGTTAGCGCGGATGGTCTAAACAAAAATCATCCAGAGATAGGAAGACAATCGGTAGCTTCCATGACATTCACACATAGCCCCAAGAAGTGTAAATTCCATTGCACACACACTTACCAAAAAGACTGCAACACCTAAAAGTCAAGGTTGTGCCGTACCTGATAACCACACATACCCATTAGCACAATGGAAAGAGAGTATTATCATATCTAAGTAATTGCAAGTATTATCTAAAATGAAGTTGAATCACTCTCTCTCTCTCTCTTTATATTATTCTGAACAATGTATAAGCCCGTAATTATAAAAACGATCTAAGTAAAAAATCTAAAGAAGATTAATCCATCCCATATTTTATATTACCCGCATTTAAATTATAATAATGTGAAGTTGGTTTCTTCAACGAAAAAAAAAAAAAGAAAAGGGTTTAACCAACTTCGTAATTACAGGCACATATGTTGATTTAATTTGCATGGTTTTTATTTTTAAATGTGGAGACTCTTTTGGCGAGCAGTGTATTAAAATATCTGTAAAATCATGCGCTACGCGAACTGCCGATTTTTCATGATATAACTCATGTAATTAGGTATGAAACATAATGATCATTGTTTTTAATTAGGATGGTCGGTCGAACCTACTCTTGTGCGGAAGTTTAGTCGGCGGTTATGTGCCGCATGCCGTACTTATATACAGCATAGAATGCACACGTAAAAGGAAAAGGATGATAAACGACGGTGCAGGAAAACCGTAATCCCATATAATATAAGCGCAGAGATTCCTGAAAAATGTGTCCGTGCTCTCTTCCGCGATGATGACGTTAAACGGATGAAAATTGCCGGTCGTTTATTGTGCATCTTCAGAGTCCACGGTGCAGAAACGAGGATCATCCTTGCTGCTAAGAGTCTGTCTATACGACAGTCCCAAACAACTAGAAAGTTAGTCGACCCCTCCTGCACACTGTGAGAACTTGGCGAAGAAGACTACGCAAGAGATGCGCATACACGCGCGTCTACATAAGCGAAAAAGAGCGCAGACGGTTGGGAGGCTTTTCTTTTTTATCAGTTCCTTTCTAACTGAATCTTCGGCCTCTGCGCCTGTGAGAAGCCTCCGAGATTACCCAATGCATTACACGTCGTTAACGTCACTTTTTTCATACACCGTGTCGCACTCTTCGCGGGTGCCATTGGTATAGTAAGCGGCAAACGACACGATCCAGTCATCTTCGATCTTCATTTGGATCTCTGTTACACAATCACTCGATCGATTTCTCTCCTCTAGTATTAACTTCGAAATTAACTCCTATCAGACCCTTATTTGATGGACGTTCGACCTCCACCTTGGAGGACGGATTTCCGACCTCAGTGGTCAATCAAAAATCTATTTCGTATGAGGCTCCTTTTGATGCACATTAATCTTCGTTAAGGCTGTGAACATGACAGGAATTGGTGAATTTCTTGAATGTGAAATTATTAACTCAAGGAAAACCGAGACTAAGGAAACAAATAAAGGAATTAGCTGATATTAAATCCACTTTTTCTATGTAGCCCTTCTTTAGTGGCTCATCGATCTTCCTTAAGGTCGTGAACGTGAGATCATGATCGAAGAAGTAATGAATCTCTTGAACGTGAAATTATAATTTCAAGGATATGTTAGTGGAATTATTATGCGGCAATTATCTATTTTTTATTTCACGGACAAACTTTTGGAACAATGTGCAGTTAAGTCGCGAACTTAGATTAATTCTCACTCAGGAGTCAGGTATCTGGTACCTTAATTGCATGAGAAATTAATTCGGCGAGAATGCCCCAGTGGGTAAAAAGGAGAAGAGATTGGCTGATATTATTATGCTGTTAATCAGCTGTAAGTAGGGGGTGATGTTTCTTTTTCTCCCAACCGGGATTATGTTACAATTGTGCCGATCATTTATGTAACTTTCAGGGAATTCGGCGCAGAGACATAAAGTCTTCCCGGGCTTTTAGAGGTTTTCGCCTGCCTGAATCGTCCGGAGATAAAATCTACGAGAAATCGTTGGAATTACTCAACGGATTATGGCACATTCGAGCTGGTGTTAGTAACGCTCGTCGTTATGAGCTATGTGCAAGATCCAAAAAGGTCGCTCTTCGCATTCCCTCCGAAGATTGCTTCGGTGCTCATCGATAATTTACCTACTTTCTTCAACCTTCGGTAGCTAGAAAGTTAATAATTTTATGTAGACGAAAGAAGGATTCGAGGGTGTCGAATTTAACTACCGATGAGGAGCATCGGTTCAACCACTAACGACCGTAAGCCACTTAATCATCTCTAATGCAATTGCTGAGCAATATTTTTCCATCAAAATATATTTTGCCGATTCGACCGAAATTCACTTTCACTGGAAAACTGCTAAATTTGCTATAAAATAAAATTCTAATCGATTAGGTCATTAATTTCCACTTTCTTTACCTTTACAGGATATAGTCTCAAGTTAGAAACAATTTCATAATACCTTGGAAATGAAGAAAAATCTTGGAATAACGCCCCTTTCTCCACTGTCGGATCGTCAACGTAAGAAACTTGATATTAACGTTTCAGACAGTTTTACGAAGAACTTCTAGAAAATAGTGGGCATTTACAATGACAGAAACTTAGTTGGTAAATATGGCGTTTCGTAACGCCTTAATGATATGCTATTAATTCGCAGTCATCTGTATGGGGCATTGGCCTTCCTTATTCCTATTATCTAGGAATCCTTCTCGGAGATGACACTTAAGCTTCTTTCGTGGAAAGTAGAAAGTGTTCATTATGAAATTAATAGCTATGATGTCACTATTGAATCTCAGCCAAGCCTAAGCATACTAGAGCTAGGAATGATTTTCTGCTCGTTTACAACGAATTAACATAAGAAATGTTAACTCGGCACTCGACTTTGAATGATGTCGATCATTGGAGGTTTGCTTATCGCGTGGCACGCTCCCATCATGTCATGGTAATCATTGGTAACAACCTTATTAAATAGGTGCTACCGACAGTGGTTACTAGACCATAATGGATGTCTATCGTTTTCTTTAATTTATGTCCCGTACATCTTTTCTTCGTGCATTTCCATAGAAAAGGATTGTCACCGCAAAGTAAACGACCTCGGCAAACATTCTACGGCATGCGACATGTTAAAAGCTGGCCAGCTGTTAATTTTAGCGGCAGGGTAATAATTTATGAATTGGAATTTTTTCCCAAGAGATTTTAGCGTTAATATTTATTGGCTTCGGTAAGGTGGTATACTCCAAGCATTGTAAAAGTCACGAAAATGAATCGATTGTCAGACATTTTGGAATTCGAAGTTATTTTCTTATTTCCTAAATTGTTTATTTAATTGTGCCGTTATTGTTTAAGTTTGCGGTGCAGCGGCATCTAGATATAACTGTAAGTGAAAGCTCTTGCAAAACTTTCGACAGTGACAGATGAGTTGAGAAACGCTTGGCTATCAGTTTTAGTGACCCTAAATCATCCGCGAAAATCCTCCAGGACCTTTTATTATTTACCGTTATTATTTAGTACAAGCCCCGTGGCCTTTCATAATTCGACTGTTTTCCTTGGTATGGTCAAGCCAATTGTCTGCTTTCTCCCATTCTTCTTCTTTTACCTCGCTTTCGACACGTACCTAATAATATCCTTTTAAATTTATTGTACTCTAAAGTGAAGATTTGGAATGCTCATTACGAGAGAATTTACTCCTTAAGAGTTCAGTGAAGCCAGGTCGGTCATATTGAATGTTGACGTCAGTGGCAAGGAAGTCGCGTAAAATTCCCAATTGATGTTCTACGAAATGAATAACATTTGTTAACGAAAATCACGACACAAATGAAAAGAATGGTATTTACGAAACGTGTCGGCCGATCAGTTTATGACGGATTGTGCACCACGAAAGATATCACATTTCGAAAATTGGCACGTTGATGAAGTTAGAATTCCGAGATGATAATTCGACAATGAATACAATGTCAACACAAACATGGACCAATTGATACATTTTACATATTCAATGATTACTTCGACGAAAACGTAAAAAATGTAGCCAAATGCCGGTTGGGAATTTCACGCGATTTCCTCGCTTCTGACATCAAAATTTAATAAGGCCGACCTGGCTTTACTCACCTCTTAAACATATCTCCATTTATCTATTTCTTCTGCAGAGACCCCTTTCTTTATTGAAGAAGATTGAAATTACACATTTTACGAATTATTTTCATATCCTGCATTCATATTAATTTATTACAAGAATACTACTACATCTAATCGAACAAAAATGTTCAACACTAAACTTAATCAAATAAAGAATTCCAAACAACATATAAAAATAAAATTGTACATACCAAGCCTTTCATTTCTTTATTTGATTAGTTGAAGTAGAAAACTAGAGGTTTGCTCAGGCACATGATTTTGGGAGAAATTATAATTTTTTAAACGTGAGAGAAAGCGATGCGAGATATTCTTGCAGTTGAAGGAGGAAGCACGAACGTATTTGCTCGTCTCTGTACACCGCAGAAATCGTTTGCAGGGATTAATTTACCACGAGATGTACGATATAAATCGATATAAGAACGAAGTCGACGTGAAATATAAACGTCTGTTTCTCGATGATTATTTAGGGCAGTCGTGGCAGAGGGTGTCTTCGATCTAATGACTTCAGCGACTCTAACGACCACGTTTTGGATGAGCCCGTGATTGGACGTTACTCGTTCCGGCATTAACGAGCGATCGGCTTTGAGAGAAACCGATCGGCGAGATGGTCACGATCCGGGATCACAAGCGCATCCCAATGTGTCTCGGCAACGAGAGTGCCGCATCCCGGGTGAGAGTTCGTAGAGCCGGGATGGAAGTGCCGTACACGGCGAGGTGAAAGGTGAAAGCCGCATAAGGAATATTCATCTCTATGCGCCTATGTACCCTTGGGTTAGCGTTTAC